TAGCCTAGTAATTGGCTAGTAGATCACGAAAAGCGATTGGTCTACTGTAATTCTTCTGACCAGGTTTTAGCTAATCCATATCTTTTTGTTACTTCTTCTTTTTCTCAGTGGCCTAGGCAAATTTAATATTATGATATTCAAATCCATTGCAATCACCTTGAGTTGATGAACTATTTCTAGCCTCCTTTGTAATTCATTTTATCTCATTTTTTTCTGTAATAACACAGTATATGAGACAGCGACTGGTTATTCTAATGTTTGGGAAGTGTTTATAAACGGTTTAAATTATAATTAAATAGAAATGAGTGATGGGGAAATGAATAATACTCGTAGGTCTCTAAAAATAGGTGAATAAAAAGTGATTTGAATCTTTATAAATAATTTGTAAACATGAGCCAAAAATAGGCTAATATAGTCCCTAAAGTACTGTATTATCTTCTTTAACTTAAATTGGGTGAAAATCTATGTAGGGAGCCTCTAAGGAAAAAATAAACGCACAAAACCTTCTAATTCCATTTTAATTGTTAATAATAAACTAAGCAATATAAACTCGGCGAGTAATATACAATATCAACAGTTCTAACAAACAATTATAAAGGTTATTTAGGTTGAAAATCTTGCAAAGTAGCTATCTTCCTATTCTAAGCAATCTTTGATTTTTTGACATGCCTCAACTGTATTTGCTCAATAATTCAGAAAAACTTGCATTCCAATATATACCAGTGTTGGACAAAATAATTTAACGTAAATGAATGTTAAAATTTACAAATCTAACTTTTGAAAAGTACATTAAAGAATAGAGAGATTTGCAAAATACACCTTTTGTGTAGGGTGTATTTAATTTACACTTTACATTTACCTCATGGTAATAAAAAAAGTTTTGTTGAAAAATTACAAATTTTTCATTAAAAATAGTCAAATAGATCAAAATACCCATTATCGAAAATATAATGCTATCTAACACTAGCGATGTTAGAGTACCAGTCTACGTGGCATTATGTGATAGATAAAATTATGCAATTCATTTAATTGAAACCTATAATTTAATATCACTAATGCGTCACTTAGACCAATGTTAAGTACCAGTTGTGCTAAATAACGTTACTCTTATTGAAATAACAAATTATACTTTTTTATTACATTATGTAACACTTTACTTATCAATTTTTTTCACTGTTTTTATTCTCCAAAAGTTTAATTACTATTTCATTCTCCAAATAATATCTAGCCTCTGTTTGACACACATTAAAATTTTCATTCTCATTCTTCTACACGTTTTCAATCACACATTTTTCAATAAAATAATATTTTTCATCACACCAATAACTTTTCCTTCTTTTTCAACCACACATTCTCCATCAATCTACTATTTCAAAATACATTCTTCCAAAATATGGTAAACATGGAAGGTGATGACCCCCTTTTATCATCTTAATTAATTTTCAAGATTATAAGGATTTTGTCCAATTTTAGTTAGTAATGATCAATCAAATATTTATAATATAGAAGACAAGCATTATATGTTAATTCATTGAATTTAAGAATATTCTAGTTCTTTATTGAATGTTCATTCGAATTCTCAATAATTTAAGCATCATTGTTCATCTAGATGGTCTGACAGATCATGTCAAATAATAAAATCAAATTGAACTTCTGATTAAATACATGGCGTGCTTAAATTATACTATTAATAATATAGTGCACTTATTAAAATACAAGTTTTAGAATCTTTACGAGTTTAATGGGGAGCAAATTATTAGCAATAGAAAAAATTATCTTCCACATATCATTTTAATATTGGCTCTTCTGGAAACTTTAATAAGATTTGCAGAACTTGACATTATATCTACGAATGAACTATCGGATCTTGATTTTAACCATTGAATTTGAAGAACAATGAGTTATTAACTTGCTGTCCAAATTTTACGACGAACGAACCGCGAAATAAGATTTATTAAAATATTCTGATAAGATTGAATAGTCATCAATAACTATTCCGTAATTTCATAACATATAAAAATTTATTTTAATTAATTTTTTTTTTTTTTTTAGTCATTGAACAAAACTTATTAATTAGAAGACAACAATTAATTTATTTTTTTAATTTTTGTTTTGCGTTATGGAATGAAGCATTTTTCAATTTGTTATTAACTTACTGAAGTTTTTTCATTGACTCGATGTTCGAGTTTAGGTCTATACGATAAGAAGACAATAAATTATTAAATCTAACACAGAAGAAAATTCTTTTACAGAAAAATATTTAATTAATAATTAGAAAATGGTATGCAAAGCATGACAATAGGTAATATACAAACAATTGTGCTATGTGTACTTGGGCATTTTGCCAGATTAGTTAAAAGAAATCCAC